TGAGCCCTCCAGCGCACAATGCTTTCACCTGGCAAAGAGCTCCTGATTTTGCCTGACCCTCAACCTCGTCCTCCCGGTGAGCTGGCTGGAGCTTCCACCATCCACTCAGCTCAGGGCTTCATCTGACATACAAAACGAAGGAAGTCTATATACTTGGCGATAATCAAAATACATTTTGTGCACGGATCAAAATTTGGCAGCAGGTCTGGGAAACTGCCTGGGCAAATAGTTAACAGCAAGCAGGTAGAAAACTACTGGGCTCTTGGTGCCCAAACATGATTCTAAGATGGGCTGCCGAGCCCACCTTCAGAGCAGACCACACTGCTCTCAGATTCTCTCTTAGGAGATTTAACCACATCCTGGCTTTCTGTCACAGGCTTTGTTTGTGGGGGAAAAATGTGGGCCTGGCCAGGAGGACCAGGTGAGAGGTCCTTGCTACAACCCAGGGCAGCTCCACAATGTCAGGCTAAGAGGAACTTCGGGGCAGTGACCTGATTGGAACTAGGGACTTGTCCAAAGCTGCAGGGACAAAGCAAGGTCAGGCTGGTCTGGAGACGGCATGCATAGGCCCAGGCTCATAAAAATAGCCTTTCTCCACGCTGCACCCACCTGAGGCTGGAAAAAAAAAAATCAATTGTCTTTCTCAAAGAATGAGAACACCCTAAAGCCTGAGGGTATTCTTTTGGGGTGGGGTTGCTGAAGGAGGGCATTTGGGCTTAATTCCTTTCTGGAACTCCCTCTGTGAGTAGGTGTCGTAATGACGCCTGTCTCATAGGCTGTAGCGTGACACTCTTAGAACAGCGCCTGGTTCCTACGAAGTGTCCAGGAGGGTTCGTTGGCATATTCCCCGCGGGTTAGGTAGCAGAGAACCTCGTTGTCCTCCTCATGTGGTAATCAGAATCACCTTCTTCCTCTGGCCATCGAATAACCCTCAATGGCTGCACAACCTCCCCGGCGACTATGTGTGTCCAAGAGCCTGCGTTCTAGAGAGTGGGCTGACAGAAGTAACGCGTGCGTGCTCCGCGATGAGTCCTTGCAAGGACGCTGCTTGCCTTGCATTGCCCTTCCCCCCACCTTTATTTCACTGGAGTGTGGAGTCTTTTGTTCAGCAGTTTATTCTCACCTGATACCGTTCAAAGCGCAAAGATCAGATCCAGGGAAATGAGGTTTCTTGGAGGCCCCTGTGACATCCTGGCTCTCAATGAACAAATCGCCAGAAGAGGATCGCAAGCCCACTCTAAGCTCGGGTGGCCTCCAGGCCAACACTGGAGCGTTTGCAAGTGCCACGAAGATGCATGGTGCAAAGCCAGGTACTAGGACTGTCTCTTGGAAGGCCTTGTATGGGACATGTTTACCGCCTGGTAATAGTTTTAGGTGACAAACTGGGCCAGGGTCCTTGCGAGCTGGTGCCCCAGGGCAGGTGGCAGTGGGTCTGAAACTTCTCAGGAGAGAAGTCCACTGAACCCGGAAAGTGGCTCAACTTTCTTTAAGGCAGTTGAGCAATGGGCCTTCTTTCTTTGATCAACGAGTTTCTCTGGTAGTAGATGAAATCACTGCACGGTTTCTGTACAAGATTTTTCTTTATAACAGCAAAAACAAAAATAATAACAAGAAACCTAACGTGTATCACAGATATATCTGTATAGCGCGGAATCCCGGAGGCCCACGAGACTCATGGCGTCGGCAAATCCTCTGACCAGACCTGAGGGAGATGCAGCTGCAAACCTCGCTTCAGAAGGGCCTGAAGTCCTTAGTCTTGGGCTCCGTTAGGTCTCGCAGGAGAATCTTCCATTTCCCCAGGGAGCCACTTGAAGAGAGACTCTCAAATAGACACTTCAAAATAAGCGCTGGGTGCTCTGAGTACAGGTGTTTCCCCATATTTCTGCGCATTTCTAAGTTTTGGGGCTGGAACATGTGCTGCTGTTCAGCTGGATTCTCCGCGTCCCTTCCCCTCTGTGTCCGGCTGTCCCTCGAACGTGCCCTGCTCCCCTCCTCCACCCGGAGCCCCTATCCCTGGATACACCAACTTCTGCTCCTTGCTGAAATGTCACCTCCTGATGAGACCTTTTTAGATGCACCCAATTTATTTTTTTTAAGATTTATTTTTATTTATGCATACAGGAGCTGGGGTACAGGCCAGAGGTGTGGGGGGTAAGAGGATTCACCAGAGACAGAGTGGGGAGCAGAACAGGCAGACTGACCGAAGTACACTGCTGAGGGGAGCAGCGGGCGAGACAGGAGAGGTCTGCTGCTCCATGTGGGTTGCTCCCTGGCCAGCCAGGGATTGAACTCATGCCGCAGAGGCTGTGTATTGCTTCATAGTGCTGTGCTTAACCCCATGCGCCACCAGGGAGGCCAGATGCATCTAATTTAAATATAACCTATCCGTCCCCTGTACACTATTCTCCTTCCCGGCTTCATTTTTGTTCATAGCATTTGTTACCACCCGACATACTGTGCATTGTTGTTTTTGTTTTTTACTTATTCATTGTCTTCACTCTTTAGACTGCAAATTCCCAAAGGATCCAGCCTCAATCTATTTTTTCACTTCTGTATCATCAGCACCTAGAACAGCTGAGTGTGGTTCAAAGCGCAGAGTAGATGCCTAACAAATAGCTGTTGAATGAACGAGTGTGCAGATGAGCATCTGTCTCCCGAGCGCCTTCCAGGCTCTTTCAGGGGTGGGAGTGGGCACTGGTGCGGGGCTGGAAGTAGGAAATAGCAGCAGCAGGAAGAAGGAGGGGCTCTGGATGATGTCACCTGATGCCAAGCAATAGCCCGGACACAGATTTACCACGACAGTGGGGTCAGGTGGAAAAGGCTCTCCAAGGGGGCTTGTGTGGTTATGGGAGCAAATAAGTTTCCCCAAACTAAGAGGGTCATTTGAGCCCGAGCAACAGAGCAGACGCATCTGTTGAGCACAATTAGAGTATATTAAGGAAAACTTACATACACAGGCCAGATCCACACGACCCACCTTGACAGGGATCTTGTATCCTTCTTAGTAAGTATGACCACAGGTAGTTTGTGGGTTTTTTATTTTTGTCATCGTGTAAAGGCTTTATTTCTACTTCTTCATCTCATACATATTCAGAGGCATCATCCTTGGTTTCGGTTTGGTATACCCACAACTTTTTGTAGTGTTTTACCTAAAAAATTGTTAGTAACCCTGTATGTTGCCAGTTATCCTTTTAACAATAATTTCTAAATGTCACTATTGTTTTATTACCAAGGCAAGAGGACAACAATAAAAGTACATACCAGGGAATCACAACATCTTATAGGGGACAGACAACTCACACGTAAGTGGCAGACAAGACGGCACTATCGTGGCATGTGCACATACCCAGAATGTGAATGTGATCGTTCTGTGTGAAACTAATGATGCCAGATGTCTGGGGAGGGGCCATGTCAAGGTGTCTTTGTTCTACTAAGATCAAAAGAGTTGTGTAGGGATCACAGTCCAGCTAACACACGTGAAAGAAACATGGGAAATTGGCCTCTCCCCAGGGTAGGACAATTACCTGCTCATGGGTTAAAGATCTGTCTATGAGATGGAGTTGTTTTTGTTTCCCTAGATTGCCGGAGAAAGATGGGAATAAACCAGGAATCCAACCTGATATGCAACACACCCAGGTTTTGAGGTCACTCAAGACATGGTCTCAAATGCATCAAGAAGGTGCTCCCAAGGGGCTGAATAGAGCTAATGCCTGGAAGGTCTAAGAACGCTTGTTTTGGTTTGATATTAAGAACTGCCCCCTACTCCTCCCTCACTAGCCCCCAAGAGAGCTTCCCAACAATGACCAGAGCCCGGGATCCACTTATCCACCGGCTGGACCTTCCATCAGTACCGTGTGCAGTTCTCTATCGAGTCACTTGACTCTGTGCCAGGGGCTGCACGCCGCACCGTGAAAGCAGCGGCGACTAAACATTATTCAGACTGTTCACCAAAACTAATACAGAAGTGGGCGTCCCTCTCCCTGGTCTCAATGAAGGAGCTAAGCCAAGAGTCAAGGCACAGCTGGATTGGTCTTGTGAAGAAGCCGCATCTTGAACAACAAAAATTTGCCTTCAGGCAAATCAGTCACTTTAAAGAAAGACTTGATTGCCACAGCGCCCACTTCCCAGAAGATGAGGCTCTGACTAGGGTAAATGCTAACAGCCCTCGTTGTCCCCAATCATACGTAACAGCGGTGGACACATGACACCTGCCCAGGCTTTGCAAAAATCCTTGAACACGTTTTCCCTGCAGCCTGTTAAAATCCTTACAATTCCGCCAGTTTTTCCAGAGCAGTCTTCAGATGGCTTCTTAGTCTTGATTCTTTAAAAAACCCACTTCTGCTTACTTCATTTCTCTAATTCAACCTCATATATACACACAACTACAGATTGTGCAGGCACCAAACCGGGCTGCAGAGAGGGAGGCGGCACCTCATTTGGACACAGGGCAGGAGGCCTCTGGAGGGTCTCCCACACCCCCGAGGGGTGCTGCATGGGGGGCAGGCTTCCCTCCAGAGCGCTCAGGAGGAGCACGCCCCTCGGAAGCGACCTCAGGCGCGTGGAATGGGGCTTTAGCCCCGGAGGAGGCCCGCGCGCACCCCGAGACACGCGCACCCCGAGACACTCAGAACACAGGGCGAGCGAGTGGGCCCTGGAGGCTGCAGGCGGGGCCGGGCCCTCGGGCCGCCTCCAGCCGACACCTGCCCGGCGGCAGGAAGTGCGATGCAGCAGGTGGAAAGAAGAGGCGCGGGACCCCTAGAGGGAGGGGGCGGGGCGGCCCCATGACGTCATTTCCGGCCGGGCGGCTATAAGGGGCGCGCGCGGCTGCGGCGGCTACTCCTGCTGCAGCGCCCCAGCCCGCGCGGGAGCCGGCGGGCGCCCCGAAAGACGCCTGCACGCAGAGACCCTGCGCCCCCCGCTCCGCCGCGGCGCCCCGGCACCTGCCCCGCTGCGCCCGCCCCGCGTCCCCGCGAGGCACCCGCGCGCCCGCCCCAGACCGCCCGGGCTCGCCATGCGCCCCCCCGCCGTCCTGGCGCTGCTGCTCTGCGCCGGGCAAGGTGAGCAGGCGCGGGGGGCGGGTCCCGGCGCCCCTGGCCGCGCGCGCCCCGCGCCCCCAAAGCCGTCCCCGCGCGCGGCGAGTTTCAGCACCGGGGACAGCGCCCCGCCCGCCCCGCGCCCCCGCCCCGGGCTGGGGGGCCCCGCCGGCGCCGGCCCCGCCCCCGACGGCCAAGGTCACTGGGGGGGTGGGGGGCTCCCGCGCCCGCCCCCCTCCGCCCTCCTCCCCCGCTCCTGCCTCCCGCCTTCCCTCACCCGGGGCGCTCCCCCCGCCCCCGCCCGGTCCCGGCGGCCCGGCCCGTCTCCATGGCGCGCACGCAGCCCCCGCGCCCCGCCCGCGGGCGCCTCCCCAGGGCCAGGGGCGCGCTCGCGGCAGCCTCTGGGGGCGCCTCCGCCCTCCCTGGGGTCAGCAGCTGAGGAAGGAAAACAAAGTCATCTCTAGCGTCTCGGCTGGGGCGGTTGTGCGGGGCCAGCTGGGGTGAATGGCCCCCAGGGAACACGGTGGGGAAGGACTGGGCTCTTCCTAGAGCAGAGCAGTAACCCCCCCTCTTTTTCTCCCCAGTTGTTGCCCTCCCTGTGAACACCCCTATGAGTAAAGGGGACACCGAGGTAAGGAGGTGGGGGGTGGCTCGGGGTGGGAGCTGGGAGGCCCTAGTGACACCTCCCAGCCTGTTCCTGGGCAGCTGCGGGAGCGAGCCTGGCATGAAGCCAAGAGCCAGCACTGCGGCTGCTGAGCAGGGACAGCTTGCAGAAGAAGATACCAGACTGCCCGGTCCCCTGCTCCCTGCTGGGAGGACTTCCCTGCTTCCTCTCAGCTAGGTGTGCAGCCCAGCGGGAGGGACTGTGTCTTTTCTGCCGGGCCAAGGCGCTAGGCCACCTGCCTTGAACCCCCCAAATCTGGTAGGCTCTCCCTGGGGGGTGGTGGGGAGAGGCTTCTCTGTGGTTTTAGTTGTCCCCTGCCTGGCTCTGGCCTCCCCCTGTGCTCAGGCCCTCCCTGCAGGGCTCTGCCAGCAACTTCCCCACCACCCTGGAGCCGTGGCTCTCTCAAATGCTGTGGGTCCTGCTCCTGCAGCCGGGGTCCTGCTCAGTTGGGGCTGATGGAGGCCACACAGCAAGGAGGCTCGGGAGACCCTCAGGAGGGTCCTGTGGTCAGCAAGAGGCACACTTGAGAGTCAGAGAAATTTCTATTCCCCACCTTTCCAGTAGCTGTTTCCTGCCAGAGAGGCTGTGGTCAATACCCAAAACATCAGAGAGATTCCAGCTTCAATTTGGTCAGCTGTATTTCCTATCTTTTAGTTGCAGACAGGCCTGGATTTAAACCTTCACCACTCACTGTGGCGGTGTGATCTTGGAAAAATGCCTTAACTTCTCGGGGATTCCCCCTTCCCCTTGAAGGGAGTTCTGAGGAGTAGGAATTGTAGCTGCCCGGCACACAGTAGGTCCTCAGTAAATGGACACAGTTATTCCTAGAATTTTCCTTCATGATCTTCCCAGCCCTCTTGGGGATACCCAGTTACTCGCTCCCAGAGTCTGTCCTCCTGAACTGGGGATGGGATAGCCCCCATGCAAGGTCTGAGGTCACGGGGAGACACGGGGTACAGTCTGCAGCGCTCTCTTTGCCAGATCCCTGTTGGGAAACCCCATTTTGGCCATCATATTGTAGTCGGGATCCTGAAATTAGGGGCACCAGAATAGCTGGTGAAGACCTGAATGTTCCATCCTAGGATGCTGTGATTACTGCAGAGTCTGTGTGCCAGTTGCCATTCTGGATCCTGGAGCCAGTTGCCTTGGCATCCCACAGACACGGCCCAATCCTCTCCCTCCCCACCAGCATCTCCTGATGCATGTCTCACACCTTCTGCTCCTCTGCCTGGCTCTCGGCAGCTGAAGCAGGTCTGGAGTTGTGAATCCTTCCGCGGGTGTGCGTGAGGCACTTCATGCTTTAGAGAGTATTTTCCCATCTGTGCCTCTTCACTCAGGAGTTGGGAAAGTCTCAACTTCTATTTTACAAATGAAGAAACTGAGGCTCAGAGCGGTCAAGTCCCATGCCCAAGCTCACACGGCTAGTCATCCCACGCCGCTGCTGGCACCGCATGCAAATGTCATCATTTAGCAGGTGCCTGATTATCCACAGCTCTCCGCTGGGCACCGGACAAGACTGTCAGAGATATATGGCTGCTGTTAGCCTGTGATGGGGCCCCAAAGTAGCCAGAGTGTGCCCACCCCCCCCCAGGGGGTTCATCCGTGGGTAAACATGGAATCAGACTGTGAGACTGTCACTCCCTGCATGTGACAACACCGTGGGTGATGGGAGAGAGGAATCCAAATCCTGTTTCCAGACAGGGTAGAACTAGAAGGCCTTTGCTCTCCTCCGCGTATTCCAGAAAGGCTTCCTGGAGGTAGCTGACCCTTGGGGCATCTCTAGACTAAAGGACTTTGCAAGATATACCGCCAATGCCCAGGAGCAGTTTCCCCTTCTATAGTAACACTGGGGAAGGAGCAGGTAATAGGCACCTACCCCGCCAAAGAGGGGCACCTGATGATTGGGGTGCTTGGCAATGGTAAATGCCATAGAAGGTTTCCTATTATCATTGTTACTATTCAGCTAAGAAAGCAGATCTCTATCCCTGAGCCAGGCAGCCATGGATTTCTGAATACAAAAGCAAATACCCTGATGCCCTCATTGGAAATTTGCCCTGGAGCCTCTGCTTGCTGAGCCCCAAGCACAAACCAACTCCAACCTGCCCCCCTCTCTTCCCAGGTGATGAAGTGCATCGTTGAGGTCATCTCTGACACACTGTCCAAGCCCAGCCCCATGCCCGTCAGCCAGGAGTGCTTCGAGACACTCCGAGGAGGTACGACCGGGCGTGGGGAGGGCTGCTGGCCGGGGCGGCAGGAGATGGCTGTGTGGCTTTTGACAGGACTCCACAGTCTCATTCAACAGTCACAGCCCGGGCTGGGGTCTGAGTGGATGATGAAGAGGTCACAGCCCCTGGGAGGCAAGAATGGGTGGATATCAACCAGCCGAGTAGAATTCTGGGCACAGTACAAGCAGGCGGGCCCAGCAAGCCCCCGGAGTGTGGCTCCCTGTGGACAAGGGTTTGTGTGCTAAATGCCCAACCCACAACAGCCCTTGACATCTGGCTGGGATGTGATGAATATCGGAGTGGCAGCGAGCAGAGCACGGACACAGGCAGTTAGGTCTCAGCCAGCTGGTGGACGGGCCCCGCGTAAGCGAATGGGTTGGCTTAAGAGAAAAGCTGGACATCAGTGCGGAGAAAAATGACGAGCGGGCACTGCAGGGGGAGGGGCAGCTCCAGCAAAGGCCAGAGGTGGGGAGCGAGTTGTGTGTCCAGACGGCGCCCCCTCCCCGCCGGGGCCGCCCTCTCGTGGCTGGGGCCTGCGCGCTGGGCCAGCGCTGGTCTCTGGGATGGTAGAGAAGGGGTCTCTCCGACGGACACTTCCGAAAGGAGGTGCTTTCAGAAGTGTTATCTCGACCCGATCTTGAGGCTGCCACCCAGATTTTGAGTTTGCAGAATGAATTCCATGTGCTCAGCTGGAAATACTGACGCTCCTCTGTTCTCGGCTGTTCTCTGGACATCACCCGTGCCGGCGCTGCTCCACCGCAGACGAGCGGATCCTCTCCATCCTGCGACACCAGAATTTGCTGAAAGAGCTCCAAGACCTCGCCCTCCAAGGTATTTTCCAGCCGCTGCCCATGAATCTGGATAAATTCCAGGACTGAGAGTCAGAAAACCAGGGTGGAAGGTTGAGCGAAGTTTCCTCCCGATGTTCAGGTCTTTGCTTCCCAGGGCGGGGTGGGGGTGCTGGGGGGGGGCAGGGCGCTCGGCGCCTCCCGGCCCATCTGCCACTGACTCAGAGGGATCAAGGCCTAGAAGGTTCGAGGGACTCGCCCAAGGTCGCGCGTGGCTGAAGGACATGCCGGGGCCAGAGGTAACTGTGTTCACGCCCTGAGGTCTCTGGAGCCCGGCCATCTTGGGGCGGCGGGGCGAGGACTTCAGGCCTGGCTCGCAAAGAGGACGCCTTTCCCCTGTTCACCCAGACACATTTCCAGGCAAGGGAAGGAGCCCTTTGCCCTCGTGAGTTTCCGTTTAAGGGGGAGCCGCGGAAGCTTCCCCCAAACCCAAGCACTTCAGAACCCGGCATGTCTTTCTCCCCGAGATCAAGTGAGCCGCTCGCATGCTTGAGAATGGGGGGCTTTGTGAGAGCGTGAGCTCCACGGGGCATTCAAGAGGGCGGGATGCGAGGGCGAGGCCGATGTCAGCCCCCAGTAAGTGATTCCGCCTGGTGCCAGGCCGTCTCCTGGGGTCACGAAGGCAGCGATCCCTCCCTGCCAAATTGGAAAAACTGGGTCTGGTCCCGCACCTGGCCAGGCTGACTCCCTGTGGGAAGCGGCCTTGTACTGGGCGGCAGGGCCGTGTCTCGCCCGGAGATTCGAGTGTGAATCTTGCAGCTGGGTCCAAAGGAAATGAGGACACCTCTTCAGGGCTGCTCCGCCCTGGCTAGGGCGGGAGCGCAGGGAAGGCTCGATGCGGCTTCACCTCCCAGAAGCCCCCGCTCCGAGGCCGCGTGTGAGCAGGAGAGGGATTTGGAGAGGAAACCAGAGAAAATAACCGCAGCAGGGCCCCAGGTCAACACGCCACTCCGTGCCTCGCTCCCGGCCTCCTGGGGGGCAAACAGCACCTCACGCGGTTGCCTGGAGCCTGAAGAGAGCGCCTGGCAAGGTGGAGGGGCGGAGCCCGAGCTGTTGTTACCTGCTTCATTAATCCTCCCCACATCAACCTGGTATTTTTAAAACACTAGACTTGAACTGATTTACTATAGTACGGTGATTTTAAATGTAAATGTGGAGGGTGAGGGTGGGGAGCCATGCGGAGAGGGGCCCCAAGGACTACGTGGAAGATTAGGGGTCCTTTGTGCTGGGTGTGGTGTGGCTCCTCACCTCGGGAGAGGTGGCCCTCCACCCTACATCAGGGCAGCGTCGTGAATCATGTTACCGCAATTTAAAGAAAAAAAAAACATTTTTTTTTTTTTTGTGGGACCCTCGCCGGCGGCCGGGGTTTGAACCGGCGCTGCAGAGGCCGCAGGCAGCCTCGCAGCCCAGCGCTCAACCGCTGCGCCACCAGGGGAGGCCCAAGAAAAAACCAATTTAAAAAATCAACTTCACACTCTTTAAAAATTAACTATTGACTGCTATTACACTGCAGTTATTAAATAGGATAGCAGCAGAGACTACTCTGGGGCCTGTCCTGAGCTGGCGCTGCCCAGCGCGCCCGTGCGTGCGTCCAGCAGGAACAGCACCCACTGTGCACACGCGCCGTTTTTATGAAAAGAACGCGGGTCGGTCTGACTGACATCCCGCCCGTCCACCCGCGCCCTCTCCTGCTCTCCCAGGGCGCCGCGCGCCTCTCTCAGCGCTTGCTATGCACAACCCTGCTTCACAGATGACAAGAGCTGTGGGGCGCCCACACTGCCCAGGTCACAGAGAGAGGCCAGGAGGTGCGGACCCAGGTCTGCCCGCGGCCGGATCCGGGCGAACTCTAAGGCCCAGCACCTCCAGAATATTCCAGAAATTCCCAGAAATTCCCATCATGGGAAAAAGTCATCTCCCCTGCAGCTGTCCTGATGAGGGCCATCCAGGCATGGGTGGGCACAGGCAGGGAGGCAGCGCTGGTTGGGGGTACCGCAGGGACCGGGGTCTCGATCACATCTGCAGGAGTCCCCCCAACTGGCTGACACAGGCACATGCTTGGCCTTCTCCCAAGGGCCTGGCCTTCTGGGGTCAAGGAGATCAGGGGTGACTTGAATCAAAAGCGCCCCCTAAGGAGACAAGTGGACACTGTTACGTCCTGCTGTAGGGTCCCTGGCCACCAGGGAGGACCTGAGGGGCCCCCGCTCTCTACTTGTACCCCGGGAACCCTGGCTCCATCGGAGCCTTTATTGCCCCGTGAGGCAGCTGGCTGGGCTGCTCTCCGTTCTTGGGCGAGAAGCCGAGATGGGCCCCTGCTGGGAGGCGGCAGGGGCGCCATGCTCCCCCTCCCCAGCTCCACTCCTCAGTTTCTTCCTGGGCAGGCTCAGGACACCACACACCCAGTTTCCAGATGAGCACCCGGGCTTCGCTCTCAGCCAGATGTGCAGGGCTCGGCTCAGACCCAAGGGGGCCTTTTCCTCCTTTCCTCCCCTCAGGTGCCAAGGAGCGGGCGCACCAGCAGAAGAAGCACAGCAGTTTCGAAGATGAACTCTCCGAGGTTGTGGGGAAGCAGAGTGACCAGCTGAAGGGTCAGTGCCAGAGGCCGGGGGAGGGAGGACATGATGGGAACAGGGGTTCTGATGGATTGAGAGATGCCGGGGTGGGGGCAGGAGCCCCTCTCTGAGCCCCTCTACAAGTGGAGAAGCTGAGCCCAGAGCTGTGAGTACCTCGCCCACAGTGGCTTTGTAACTGGAGATTGGAACCTGGGTCGTCTTACTCCCGTCTGCCCCATCTGCGCGGCGCAGGGCCGGAGGCCTCAGCTCTGACTCTTCGGTGGCCACTGCAGCAGGGCTGCACCCCTGCAGCTGCCTCCTGGGCTCCGGGCGCCTTAGCAGAGCCACGTTGTAGGAGGAGCCCAGAGGAGTAGGTTGGAAGCTTGAAATGAATCTGGATCTTTCTTGAAGCCAGAGAGCTTTCAGGGGTCAAGGAGATCACGGCTGAGGTCAAGGCAGCGCTGTCACACCTCTTTGCGCCTGGAAGCAGCAGCAAGCTGCCCCTGCAGGCCCTTCTCGTGGCTTGTGAAAGGAGGGCTGGGGCGGCCGTTCCCAGGAGGGGGTCTCAGAGGTCTTCCAGCAGGAGGGGGGTGGGGGTGGGGTGCAGGGGGGCCTCACCTGAGCCACGGCTGTCGCCCCAGCGGCTGCCTGGGGTGCTGCATGGACTCCCGCATCCTGGCTCCAGGGCTGCGGCCGGCCACGGCTGCAGGGGAAGCCGTGTGGGGAGCCGGCCCTGTCAGCGCAGGGGCACCCAGCGCGGGAGACTGGGAGGCTTGGGCCAGGCTCAGCCTTTTCCTCCAGACCGCGTGATCTCGGACAGGTCACTCCCCTTTCTGAGGATCAGTTTGCATTGTTAAAATCATGAGGGTGGGCCCCCTGGTACCGGCCCCGGAGCCCAGGGGCGCTATGTCCTTGGCGGTGCTTGGAAATCACCCTCGTGCAGGCAGAGGTTTTCCCTAAAGAGCTGGCCTCAGGGCGGCCGCGAGAGGACACCTTGTACCACGGCCCTCTGCCTGCCGAGGAACCGCACGTCTGCTCCGTGCGCTCGGGCAGCCCCGCCGGAGCGGGGCGTGGAGTCGCGGCGCTGGTGCCTCCCGCGCAGGGCGGTGAGGGGCCGGCCCAGCTGATGTCCTCGACGTCCATCCCGACCTCTGCCTCCTGGGGTCAGTCTCAAGGTCTTAAAATAAAAAAATCTCCTCCTGCTTTAAGAAGTAGAAGGACAAGGCGAGAAGCACCCCCGGTCGTGCCCAGGTCCGGCCCCGACCTGGAGAGGCCTCGCACCTCGGGCAGGGCTTGCAGCCGATGCCTGACGTCTGAGTTGGGCTCTGGGGAGACCCCACGCGCGGCCGGGCCCTCGGGGCCTGACTGGGCTCTGCTGTGTCCGCAGAGGAGCCGGAAGCCACGTCCGCCAGGGGCCCGGCAGAGAAGAGAGGCGAGTCTGAGGAGGCCGAGGACGGCGACGGCGTGGAGGGGGACAGGCCTCAGAGCTCCCCTGGGCCCGAGCAGGGCTCCGAGGTGGAGGACGGCCAGGCCCCGGGGGAGGAGGACCCCGCCGCCCGCCTCCCAACCGCCCTTCCCAGCCGGGGCGGCCCGGGCGCGCAGACCGAGGGGGACAGCGCGGGGCCCTCCCGCGGCCTGGAGGACGGAGAGAAGGACCCGCGTGCCGGGCGTGGGCAGCAGGCGAAGAGGGAGGACGAGGGCCGGGAGCAGGCGGGGGCCGGGGAGCAGCGGGCCCCGGAGGAGGAGGAGGAGGAAGGCCCCACCGCGGGCTTCGGGCCCCACCTGAGCTTCGGCTACAAGGACAGCCCGAGAGGTGCGGCCTGGTCGGGGCGGGGCGGGCGGGAGCGGCCTCGTCCATAACCCCACACCCCCCACACACCCCGCCCGCCCGGCTGGAGGTTGGCACGACTCCCTTCTCCAGATGGGAAACTGAGGCCCAGAGGGCGCGGGTCCTCGGTCACGTGGCTGATTCACAGGAAAGGCTGGTTCCAGCCCAGGCTCGTCTGCGCCCACGCCCCGCACTCCCCGCAGCCTCTCTGCACCCCCAGCCCCGGAGGAGGGGGCTTCGCGGGGTGGGGGGGCGCGCGGCGGGCAGGGCACAGCCGGGCAGGCGGCCCAGGCCGGGGAGCGACCTCCTGGCGGCTTGGCTCGGGCTGGTGTCCGGCCCCTCCCCGCCCTGGTGCCAGGGGCCCGGGCTCGTGGGGAGAGGCCGAAGGCAGAGGCGGCCCGGCCAGCCGCCCGCGCGGGCCCCGAGGGGTCTCGCAGAGCCGTGGCGGGAGGGCCGTCCCCGCCCAGTCAAACCCACTTTGCAGAAGCCGGCGGGACCCTGAGGCCGGGGTCGGGGCCCCGCCAGTGGCCACAGAGGGGACCCGGGCGAGGCGGGGGGGGGGGGGGGTGGTGGCCGCGGCGGGCCCTGCCTCACTCTCCTCTCTCCACTGCCCCAGGGTGGCCCGAGGCGCTGGACGGAGCCGGGAAGGCGGGGACCGAGGAGGCGCAGCCCCCCACGGGGCCGGGGGCGCAGGAGCCGTCCCGGCAGGAGGAAGAGGAGAAGGAGGCGGCCGGGGCCCCTCCACGCCTCTCCCAGGGCGGGCGGAGCGGGGAGCGGGCGGAGCAGGAGCGGCTCCCCAAGGAGTGGGAGGCCGCCCAGCGCTGGAGCACGATGGACCGGCTGGCCGAGGAGCTGACGGCCGAGAGGCGCCTGGAGGGGGAGGCCGGGGAGCAGGACGCCCCCGACCGCTCCATGCAGCTCTCCCTCCGGGCCCGGGCCCATGACCCCAGGGGCCCCAGGCCTCCGCTGCGCCGCGGCTGGAGACCGTCCTCCCGGGAGGACAGCGTGGAGGCCGGCCTGCCCCTGCAGGCGCGCGGCCTCCCGGAGGAGAGGAAGGAGGAGGAGGGCAGCGCCAACCGCAGAGCAGAGGTTGGTACGGGCGGGAGCGGCCCCGGGGGTGGCCCGGGGAGAGGCAGGGAGGCGCGGGAGCGGACGCGGCCAGGTGCTCGCAGAGGGCGCCCGCGCAGCTGGAGGCTGGTCAGCGGGGCGGGTGGAGGGATGGGCCCGGCCCGGAGGTGCTGGGAGGCACCTTGGTCCTGAAGCGGCAGGTGGGGCTGGGGCCTCTGGGTGGAGACCTCGGACCCTGCAGGACATGCTGGACGGGCCCGGGGAGGGCTGTGTGCATCCAGGCCCGGGCCCCATTGGCCCAAGAGGTGGGGGTGGGAGGAGGGGACACTAAGATGTGAGAGGTCAGGCCTGTCCTCTCCTGGCCTCCAGGCAGCCCAGGAGCACCCTCCTGGTGGGGGGGCTGCTGGGGCTGCCAGAAGACCTGGGCTCTACCTCTTGCCAGCCGTGTGCCTGTGGGTGGGTCATCCCCCTTCTCTGAGCCTCCCTGGTTCCCCCATTTGTGAAGTGGAGGGAAGGTGCCCATTCTGCTCCCCTCATCACGGTCAGAACACGCGGAGCCCGGTCATGCCCAGGGCTGCTTAGGAAGCTCAGTGGGGCACAGGGGCACAGCCCCACGGGAGGGGGTGAAGTGGGAGCTGGGGGCCCTGCTGAGGGGCCTCTCCTCCCCTTCCCCAGGCCCTAACCTGCCTCTGGGTATCCCCCAGGGTTCTGGCAGCCCAAGGAGGCGGCTCCTTGGTATCTGGAACTGGGAGAGGGCCTCTGCCTGTGGGGGCTGCGGGAAACAAGAGTTGGCTCCCCACCCAGGCCAGGTCTGGGCACCTGTGGCCCCCCCCCCACCAGCGGTAGGGAGCAAGGTGCCTGAGGTGCACCCCCCCCCACCTTCTCTCCTCCAGCTGCAGAGGGAGGCCTGGTCTGCAGGGTGGAAAACGGGCATCCCAGAGTCATGTGGGCAGGGCAGGGGCCACCTCCCACACTCAGTGTCTTAGAAATGGCCTAGCAGCATTGCTGAGCCCCTGCACCTGCTCCTAAGCCCCTGTGTCCACGGCAGCCTTTGTCCATCTGTTCCCACTGGGCCCCGGTGCATGCCCTCTGCTGCCTGGCCTTTGGCAGGGACTCCTGGAAGATGCCCCCCCCCACGGCAAGGTGGAGGCGTGCACGCCTCACTCCTGCTCCGGGTCCCAGGCCATGCCTCGTGGGTGTCAGGCCCGGCTCCAGGGGCTCCCGAGATGGGGGCACAGAGCTGAGCTCACAGAAAGGTCCCCTGCTGCCCTGAACCGCCCTGGCAGCCAGAGCCTGGAGTCCACCACAATTAGGACCAGGGATCAAGGCCCAGCCCATGCAGCTAGAGGCCTCTCTGCTCTGACAGGGCAGCAGACGGGAAACCCAGACCTGGCCTCACCCTGGCAGGTGTGGCCACAGCCAGGCCTGGGACGCGAGGGCTGCAAGGCCTCTGAAGGGCACCGGAGGCTTCCCTGCCCACGGGTCTGTCTTGGGCCGTGCAGGAGGAGGCAGGTCTAAGAGGACACCGGGGTGGGGTGGGGTGAGGGCCCCTGCACCCCCACATTCTTGTGCATAACAGTCCTCTGAGCAGCCCAGCAAGACAGTACCACAGTCCCCAAGATGCAGACAAGGCCCCGAGGCTCAGAGAGGCAAAGCCACCTGCTCAAGGTCACGCAGCTAACCAGCGGCACAACCGGGCTGCTGGACTGTGTGCTCCCTGGGCCCGCCCTCCCGACCGTGATGCTTTCTCCCAGGACCAGGAGCTGGAGAGCCTGTCGGTCATAGAGGCAGAGCTGGAGAAGGTGGCCCACCGGCTGCAGGCGCTTCGGCGGGGCTGAGACACCCACAGACCCCACCAGCCAGGGCTCCAAGGCACCCGTGGTCCTGGCTCTGTTGCCCCCTTGGCAGGTCTGGCCAGACAGCTGGGCGCTGCTTCTGGCAGGGAGGCGGCCCCCCGCCCGCCCAGGCCCAGGCCTCTCTGTCGCCCCCGCTCCTTTCTGTCTGCTCTCGGGCCCCCACCCCAGCGCAGCCCTCTGCAGGGGGGCCCACAACTTTAAATAATCCTCCCGAACACAGGCAGCTTTCTAGAAGTTTCCTGCCACCGCCAGAACCGTTGGGCACACATGCAATAACTTCTGACCTTTTGGGGAAAGCTGAGAACTCCCGACTGTAATATATTCTGTACAAAATTTATCTAAGGAAAAATAAATCTGCTCTGGGCTCTTTCCTGTTTCTTTGAACTTTCTCCCTCTTGACTTGTGGGAGGGACTGGATTCAGGCAAAGGGCTGAGGGAAGACGGGGTCCTCCCGGGCAGCACCTTCCTGGCCGCTTCCCAGCCTTGGGACCACTGGCAAGTGTCTGTGCACTGCACAGCACCAGCTTCCTCACCTGGAGAGTGTGGGTGCAGAGCTTGCCTCAGAGTGTGTGGGGGTCACATGCAAAGGGACTCCCCCTTCTGCCATCTTCCATACCTGAGCTGGGTAGACAGGGAAGCAGCTTGGGAAAGCCTCTGCTCCTTGCCACGCTGGGTGGAGGTTCTCACAGTCCGGGATGAGGCATGCGGGCCAGCAGGCGCAGGGCAGGCTCACTGCGGACCGGCCAGATAGAGCCCCGGAGCCCTCGGTGGATTTTTCAGGCTTTAATGCTCTCAGGGAACCAGGCGCAAGGAGGCAGGCACAGGCCGGGCTGGGGCGGGTGGGAGGCAGGCGGGAACAGAGCCTCCCAGCCCCCCACGAGCCTACCCTTTTCTCTCTGGCATTCGCTCGTGGTCTCGCCTCTCCCGTAGTAGTCAGGCATCCTCTCACAGCCGTCCCGGTCTGAGTGACGCCGCCCTCACATCCCTGGCCTCTAGGCGCAGGTATGCACACTTACGCGTGCGTGGGCACGCATACTGCAGGTGTCCACAATCAGGCACTTGTGCCCGGCGCCCACGCTCCCCAGCGCCTTCTGCATCAGCACAGTCAAGGCCGCAGGGGATGGCCACAGAGGCTAGTGGCATAAAAAGCCGATTAGTTCACTTACGCCCTACATGCTGCCCCAAGGCCACAGGCGCCTGACCAACTGTGGACTTGCTGAGCTGGGGCCCTCCTCTGCAAGCCTCCCCCCCGCTCGGAGCTGCTGCACCTGCTGACTCAGGCGGCTGAAGTTCTTACACGTCTAATGGTTCGCCAGAGCCAGCAGGTCCGAGGCTTGGTTTGGAGAAGGAGGAAACTGAGGCTCAGAAAGTGAAACGACTCATCAAAGCCACCAGCAGGAGTGCACATCTACCCCGGGCCCGCATTCAGGGTTGGGGTGCCAGACCCGGGCAGACTGGCTGATTACTAGGGCGATCGCACTCTTGGTCATCAAACAGTTGTGAGCAATTGCTTTGGGCCCGGGAGGCTTGGCCTGGGGTGGCCGGGACAGGCCCTGGCTCCGGGAAGCCCACAGCCTGAGAACATGGCTTCTGACGTCATATGGAGGTTGGGGTCCCCAGCCCAGCAGGAGAGCTTGGACAGGGGTTCCTGGCGACTCGGAGTGTTTCCTCACTTATGAAGTGGGGCTCACAGCGACCACTTCACCAGACCACGGTGAGGATTCAAGGGGCCCAGGCGGCCTGGCCAGAAAAACCACACTGGCACAGTGCTGACCGCAGTCGTGGGACTGCGGGGTCCTGGCTGGCCTGGGCCTCTCCTGGAGGCCAGTGAGGGGCTTCGCCCTGCTGATGCCCGCTCCCTGCCCCTGCCCCGAGGCACTGAGGGTGACCCTCATGCTGCGGCTTTAAAGCATTTCTTCACATTTCAGACAGGTGTGCTCTGCACCTGACAGCCACAGTCACCCTGACCCTGACCCTGACCTAACCCTGACCCTGAACACCCGCTGGCGTGTTAGTCCGGCAGGTATCTCAACGCCCGCTACCAAGACAATTTAGCAAATAATGAGAAATCAGGATGCTTTCTCCTGAAAGACTCCCCCACACCCCCCACCAAAAAAAAAATAAGGCATCATCCCATGAAACAGGCAGCCACGTCGGAGGCAGTGCCCGAGAGGCGAGGTGCTGGCCCGTGATTTGATCCCTGATCCAGGGGCTCACATTAACATCTCGGGGGTGTGCACACAAGTTCAGAACTCGCCGGCTTGGGCTCTGCTGAACGCTGTTGTGAAGAGGGTTGGCGCCAACAGCATTTGTCACCCAGCACAGGAGTGAACACTAAACCAGGACCCGTCAACATTATGAAGTCGCTACGGGAGAAACTCCTAGAGAGCAATTTCAGAGGGGTCTGTCCCTGCCTTCAGTCCTGGAAAGTCAGGCAGGCTGTGGGAAGCCAGACCCTCCACGCTGCCAGGTCTGGAAGTCAAGGGGACACACTCTTTCTGGTAGGAGGCCCAGGTGGTCTGGTGGGGCCTGGTGTTGGGAACCAGCCACCGTCCCAACAGCTGGCCCAGCAGTCCGAGGGCCCTGGCTCTCACGTGCGCAGGGGGCGAGTCACTCCGGGCCCACACTGGCCTTGCTCTGCAGAAAGGGACAGGCACAGACCTCCTGTCATGGGAGTTAGGCCTGTGTCTCAGGCTCAGCCCAGGCCTGCTCAGGCCGGTGTGCGGCCTCAAGGCCTGGCAGACTGACCCACAAGGTAAGGCTGGAGCCTCTGTCAAGGAAGTATGGGCCTGTCCGCCTCAGGGGAGCCTGTGGGAGGAGGCTGTACCTCTATAAGGGAGGCTGGCACTCAGCCCTAAGCCTCTGGAGCTGAGGCACCGCCAAGCTGTGGCACGAGAAGGGAGGGGAGCTGTCAGGGGTCCCACCAGGTGATGGGTCAGAATTCTAGGGGACGGAAGGCGGATCCACCCCCGGGACATCAGCACCAAGGACCTACCTGTCTCGGGGCGAGGCCGAGCACAGTCTCCTCAGTCTGGGAGCGGCTGCCCCGGCTGCCTGTCCGAGTCCCACAAAGCCCACTCAAGCACTTCAGTGTAAGGAAAATGGGTTCAATCAGGCTTTTTTCCCCACCTTCCCGCCACGAGCCGCGGCAGCCACTACCCGCGGCCTTGCTTTCCTCTCAGGTTTCATCGCCAGCATGGTATCGTGTTATGGCAAAAAGCGCTTGGGGAGCACAGCACGGGGCACGCACACCTATTACAGACACCTGAGCTGAGAAGCCGGCGAGCACAGGGCGTGCGTGTGCCCACGGGTGCCCGGACAGAGCCTGGGAGAGAGAGAAGCCGGGGGAGTCCGTGGAGACCACAGGGTGGGGGGCGGGGAGGCTCGGTTGCTGCCTCCCTCTCCCCCGACCTCCCTCGCGCCTGCCTCCCTGCCTGCTGGCCGGCCTGTCTGGTCCCAGCGTCAGCATTAAAGGCCCGGCAAATCCACCGAGGGCTCCAAGGTTCCTTTTCCCTGCGCCCGAACAAACCATGAGCCTGCCCGCCTGAGATAGGTGCCCAGATACCAGGGAAAGGGAACTCGAGGTTGTCCCCTCGCCCAGACTGAAGACTCAGGCTGACCCACTGAGAGGACCCCCACTCACTCAGGCTAGGTGACGCGGGGAGGCCCCAGGCCCAGCTCCGCCCACCGTGCGCTGCAACTCCAAGCACCTTGTGATACGCAGGGCCGCCCCCACTCCGGGAGGCCGCCCCAGGTGCTCCTGGGGGACAGACTCGCAGCAGCTGGGGCCTCTCTGGAATCACATCGTTATATAATCAGAACCTCTGCCAGCAAACTCTCGGCCCGAGGCCCCGGCCCCAGGGTGCCTCCAGAGATCCTTGGCGATGCTCTGATACACCCAGGCCTCAGCCAACGTGGCCCCCCTCATTCTCCTGGAGCTCCCGCAGGCTGGGGAATGAGACCAGCTCCCTCCAGGCTGACTCCTGTGTGCCATCACAGCAGTCCCTTCCCCTGTGCTCTCGAAGATTCCAGAAACCCTGAACCACAGGCTGCACAGGCCAAGTGTGTCTGAGTGGGTCTTTCCCCCGGGCAGAAACCCCGAGGCCGGCGACAGGAGGCCTAAGGGGAGCTAATGCTATAGACACTACCTTGGGACCCAAACAGGTCGGATGCACCCGCTGGCCCCTCGCCACTGCCCACGGCCCCTTCCCCTCGTCTACACTCCCTGGCACAGGAGTGGGGGCTGGGCCCTTTATGGTGCCCCCAGAAAAAAACAAAGATCCAGCTCACCTCTGCATGGAGGCCCAAGGAAGGCGCCCCACCTGCAGTCCCCTGCTGGCAGAGCCTGGACCCCAAGAGTGAGGAAAATTACACAGAGCACAGCATGGCCTGGGGTGCGGGGGCCACCCCCCACTCCCCACCTGTTCTTGAGGAGCCTGTGATTGGAATTTTATTCAAAATGGCAAAGCTGTTTTATTAGAACACTTTCTTTTAGCAACGTTGCGTAAACACGTGTGAAATGCGGTTTGATTTCAGTAGTTTATTTTGGAGACAAAGCAGTGCAAGGGGCCACGCGTCCCCGCTTCCCTGGGGCTCGGGGCCGGGCCGGGCAAGGATGTACAGGTATTTTAATTGGGGTTCAACACTCGGGTCGTGTAAACGCGGTTAGCGAGCGGGCCCTCTGTTCTCGGGACAGCTGGCCAGTCCGGACGAAGCCCGCCTCGGCCCCAGCCTGGCCCCACGGCGGTCACCACCTCCCCGGCAGTGGGCGGGCTGACACCGGCCAGAAGGCACCTCCGGGGGCCCAGCTCAGCAGCCTCTCTCGGACCACCCTTTCCAGGAGCGGGGCAGGCCGCTCAGTTCAAAGTGAACTGAACCTTAAGACACAAAACCACGCGGGGTCCGATGCCCCTGCCCAGCGTTCATCGTCCACCCTTGGCAGAGCTGCCCATCGCCCACTTCTCTGCAGAGGCGGCTGCCAGCTGGACCGTGGCCTCTGACCCACTGACCAGTGGTCCGTCTGCTGTCACTGGGGAGGGGTCCAGCGGGTGGAGAGAGGCGGGATACATTTTCTCACCTCTGGGCGACAGCCCCTGGCACCTGGCTGCACACCCCGCCAGCCCGGTGTGCGGGGCCCGCAGTGAATACAGAGCGGTGGATGGCGCCTGTGGGGAAGGGTGATCGGGCAGGTGTGCACGGGAGTGATGTGTATGGGGAGCCTCCTCCCGCCCAGGAAGAGGGCCCACATTGCCCAGATGCCAAGGGGCATCTCGTCTAGGCCACTCCGAGGACAGGAAGGCCGTGGCATGGGGGGGAGGGTGTCGCACGCTCCTCGGGGTCCTCTGGTCTCGAGAGCCCCCTCAGACACAGGACACGCAGCCAGCAACTCTCGGAATGCTTCGCTCAGTCTCGGCACAAATCCTTGGCACAGGCGGGACCGGTCTGGGGCTCCCGGCCAGGCAGCCTCACCCCAAGCCCCAGGCAGCGGCGCACTTGGGCAGGCTGCTCGGACACGTGGACTCCAGAGAGCTGGATGTGAAGCGAGGCGGCCACCCCGGGGCGTGGCCTCCCCCCCCAGGAAGCTTCCGTCTTCCCTGTCGAGAGTGGCAGCGGGTGACCACAGCCCAGTCTCCCATGCGGGACACTCGCCAAGCTGCAGATGTCACAGGGGCCCCGGGGGGGGGGCTGGACAGGAGACCGGCGCGGTCACGTGCTCCGGTCAGCGACGGCCTGAACACGGGCAGCACCTCCAGGGTCCCCGAGGCCTGGTCCACAGCAGCCATCAGGACAAACAGTCGTGGTGCAAGCGCGTGTGCACACACGCGCACACACCCCCACAGACACACGCACAGGCGCACACATGCACACACACACCAATCACACACCCCCACATTCAGGCCTAGTGTTGGAAACACAGCGTGTGTAAACCCAGTGAAGAGATCTGCACAGCAGGCGTTAGGTGGGCGGCCCCTTCTCCACGAGGCTGGACCACCTGGGGTTCTTTCCCATCTCCCCCTCCCTACCCACCCCCTTCAGGTCATGACATCAGAAAATCAGGTTAAAAAAAAAAAAAAGAATCAGATCATTGGGAATTCTTAGTAGAAGCGTCACCGCGGGGAGCCGCTGCCCCACGTGGGTGCTCCGAGGCCGACCTGCCCCTCTGGGTCCTGGGCTCCGTGGCTACTGGGACGAGGCCTTGGTGGTCAGCGAGGCCACGCAGTGCTGCTGGAAGCTGGGCGACACGGCGGCGGTGCAGCCGAGTCTCTGGTGGGGCAGCTTGGCGGTGCTGCCCGCGCCCACGCTGCCGGCGTCGGCCTCCGCCGCCCAGGGCGGGTCCTGGCCCATCATGCTGCTGCAGCAGCCGGGGCTGGCGCTGCACGTCCGCTCCGCTGCCAGGCTGCCCGCCTGCTCCGCCAGGAGCCTGCTGTGCCTCTGCGGGGCCGCGTCCCCCGGGGCCGCCGTGGCCGCGCTCTGGGCCTGCAGGATGGTGGCGATGTGGTTCAGGAGGTCGGTGAAGAACTCACTCACACCCTCGTAGCCTGGGGAGGTGGGGGGAGACAGCACAGGCCGCTTAGCCAGCAGCGTGAGCACCAGGGGAGGCGAGGCTGGGGGGCTGAGGGGACTCCCAGAACCCAAGGGGGGTGCTTCTATGATACCGTTTACATGGAGAGTGGCCGGCGGAAGTCACATGGCCTGGGCTCAGAGTTGTGGAAGGGGACCCCAGAGTATTGGTCCCTGAACCCCCGGGGTATGACAAGCTGTAGACAGAACTGGAGCTGGTGAGAAAACCCGGGTGCAGCTCCTGACGGGGTAAGGTGCCATCACCTGGGGCTGTGGCGGCTGGAGGCGGCAGTGCCAGGCCCACACTGCTTTTGTTCCGAATGATAAACACCCCTTGATGCCACATGGCTGGGCCCCGCCTCCTCATGTGTAAAATGAGAATTCCAGGGGGTCAGGAGGCAGTTTCCATGGGCACAACTGAGGGGCATGGGACACCCGAGTAACAGGATTGGCTCCCAGGGCTGAGTCTTTCCTTCTCACCCTACAAATACATGCAAGGAGGGCCTGTGCCGCAGGCTCTGAGCAGCAAGGCCAAGGACAGAGACCGCCCCCCATAGACACTGCCCACCCACACCTGGCCCTGCCCCCCACTGCTCACCCACACCCCTTAACTAAGCAGGCTGGGTCTCCTCAGCAGAAGCCTGGTGCCCGCTGGGGCCCACATTTCCCAACACAGATGCGAATGTCAGCAAACAAGTCCTCAGAGCCACCAAGCAGGTTCTGGAACAAGGGCAAGAATTTTGCTGACTCCCAAAGAAAACCGGGGTGGGGGGTGGAGATGCTGCCTCCCGCCTGAACGCAGGTGGAGGGATGAGAATGGGCGCACAGCTCCAAGAACACCCAGCATGGCAGGAAGTGCACCCCTGAAAAGGAACAAGGGCCTGCGCTTTGGGAGGGGATCCAGGCACTGACCCCCCTCCACAGCCCCCCCCCGCCCCCCGCCACACACAGCCCAGGCTGGGTGCTGAGGAGTAACTGAAACCCTCTTGTGCCCTCTGGGCTGGTCTCAGTCATCAGGGCGAGTGGGGTGAGAAGGAGGGTCAGAAATGGGTCACGCGTGGCCTTTATAGAAAAGCCCACCCAGGGCTGGGGGCAGGGGCCGCTGACATACTCTCAACCGCTGGGGCGGGAGGCCGGCCGGGCCGAGGGGGCAGGTGGAGGAGCCCGGCGAAGTGGGTGAATAGCTGGTGTGCACCACACCTCCTGTGCGCACCTCCGGTCCCCAAACGTCACAACTCTGTCCCCATTTTGTTAGGGGGAAAAGGCTGTCCTAGAGCTAATTTCACACAGGCTCTGTGGACTCCACCCCCACCCCAGGCCAAAGCCAAAGACACTGGGAACTCCACATCCCGTCACCACCCAAGGGAAGGTGGCTGGGACCTGAGGGTGGGATTCAGCAGCCAGGTGGGTATAAAACCAGACCCGTGGGCTTTGGGGGGGTGTCCCCCATGTTGGCTCCCCGCCAGCTCGCAGCGTCCGGCCAGCTCTGAGAGTGCCTTTGGGTTTCCAGGTCGGCGGATCGGGGAGGACGCATGAAAGACTTTATTTCCCTATTTTCTCCCTGAGTTGTCCATTTTCCTCATTTCCTTTTCTCTTGTAAATAAACCTTTTATGAACCTGTTGTGTGTCCTGCAGTGGAGTATTCATAAGTCCCTTGTAAGCGCGGGTGAGGACCCACAGCCAGGCACCCGTTCAATATCGGGGCTGCCCTATAACAGCTGGCGGAGAGCCAAAAATGGGGGCTCCCCAAAGCCCACATGTCTGCCTTTTATACCCACCTGGCTGCTGAACCCCACCCTCAGGTCCCAGCCACCTTCCCTTGGGTGGGGATGGGATGTGGAGTTCCCAGTGTCTTTGGCTTTGGCCTGGGGTGGGGGTGGCGTCCACAAAGCCTGTATGGGATTAGCTTGAGGACAGCCTTTTCCCCCTAAGAATTTCACAGACAGGAAACCAAGGCACGGACAGTTAAATAACGGGTCCAAAGACAGAAAGGCGGCCGTGTGACTATCTGCAGGCAGGTGAGGTGGTGAGAGGCCTCCGCTCTGCTGCGGGGCTGCAGGCCTCACGTGCCTCGGCTGTGGCATCCTGGCGGCCCCCGGGGAGCAGGGCCCAGATCAGCCTGTTTCAGACAAGGACACAACACCCCAGGCGGGCGGAACTGGGCTCTGAACCAGGCCCCACAGTCCTGTCTGGGCCTTGACACGTGGTGCTATGCTCGCCACCCCAAAACCCGGGCTTCTTCCAGAGCAGCTGGGGCTGGAGAGAAGGACTGGCCCTGGGGGCCGGTGCTGGGTTTCCAGGGCAGAGACACGGGCTGGGGTGGGAGAAGGAGAGTCACGTCATGCCAACTCCAGGGACCATCAATGATTACTCAGCAACAGCTCTGCTGTCCCTTGGGGCAGAGCCCAGGGTGCTGTGTCTGCTTCTTGGGGGGGCTGGGGGCATATGGAGCCCTGAGGCTGAGGTGCCAGGAGAAGGTCTGCTCGCCCTGTCCCAAAACTGGCGTGGCTCCTGCAGGAGGGAACCCATGTGTCTGTGTAGCCCAGGAGAGCAGCAGCTCTGGGCCAGGCGCTGTGCAAATGACCTGGGAGCTGGTGGGAGCCGGTGGGAGCCGGTGCTCCCACTGTGCAGAGGTGAGCACCGAGACCACCCCCCTAGACGGCTTTGTCCCGTCACAGGCTGCAGTAGACGCAGGGAGCTGCGTCAGGGTGCAGGGCCCCCATCCTGGCTCCTCGCACAAGTCACCAGCACCCAGCCTGCAGGCCCCCTCGGGAATGGAGCGCCTCGAGGTGCTGGGTGCTGCAGTGAGGAGGAGGGCGGCCTGGCTGCGGGTGCCAACAAGGCCTGTGCCTCCTGCCGTCTTTACTCCCCAGAGCCCAGCATGCAGCCAGGCGTGCAGGGGCATCGGGGCCACCCCTCAGGCTGGGCCCCGTGAGCGCTCTAGTCCAGGCTCGCAAAGCATAGTCTGAGAGGGCTGGGCAGTGCCACCAGGGCGTTGGGCGGATGATTCCTAGACCCGGCCTCTGGCCCTCCTGGGCCACGCGCGCGGCCCTAGGCCTCCCCGAGCCTCCCCGACTCGCTCTCATGGCTGCGGGTGGCCCAAGTGGCATCCTCTTGGCTTCCCTGGGAGGCTCCTGGCTTTAAGAGTTCCTCCTTCGTGCCAGGGGCCCCCGCTAGCAGCTGAGGCTGAGCGGGGCCACATCGCCCCGGCTCACCTGGGAAGGCGTTGACGTCGATGACGGCATGCTGCCCCGTCTGGTTGTTGATGATGATGTCGATCCCAAAGAGGGAGACGCCCAGCGCCTGCCGCAGGGCCCGAGACAGCTCCCGGATGACCTCGTCGCTCGGCCGCTCGAACACGCCCTCGATCTTGTCCAGCTGCCGAGACACGCGCGCACACGCACGGGCGTCAGGCAGGGGCAGGAGGCCCTGGCCACGCCAAACACGCCAAACACGGCCCCGGCCCGCCCCCAGGAGGGAGGCAGGAGGGAGGCAGGGCAGACTGGCGCAGAGGCCCTGGACGGGACCCTGGGTCGGGGCAGGCACTAGGAGTACAGTGCACACGACCCCGCGGGCCCCACAACCACCCGCGGCGGTGGCACGAGTGGTGATTTACACTCAGGGGAGACGAAGTTCGGAGGCTCAGGGGCCAGGCCGGCGCCACGCAGCTCAGGCCCACAGGCTGCATTTGGACCTGGGTTTGCTCGCCTCGGAAACGCAGCCGCAGCAGGGGGAAGGGGATGGGGCGTCTGCAGCGGACCCAGAAGACTTCATGGTGCGGGGAGGATGTGGGCAGGGGAGGGAGGAGAAAGGCACCTCCCAGGGCACAGTGGAAGCGACAGAAGAACCTGCAGGAGGGAGCTGGGAGCAGCTGAACACCGGGCAGAGGCACCACGGGGGGACTTTTGTAAGCAGCCGTCACCAGAGGCCCAGGGCTGTGGGTGCAGGGTTCACCTGTGGGTGCAGGCTGGTTCACCAAGGACCAGCCTTCACCTACTGCCTGGAACTAGGGGCGTCCCAGAGCTCCTGGGAGGGGCTCACCAACCCCCCTTCCAGACCAGCAGCTAAGTCTCCCGCACTCACGTCCCACAAGAACCAAGTTCCCCAAAGCAGCTACTCTGCTGCTTCCATACAAGTCCCAGCTGGGGTTCGGCCTTCAGGAAGCTTCCGCGGGGCTAGCGGGGCCACCCCAAGCATGGTCCTCCCACCTGCCCTGGACACCGCCCCCCTCGCCACACACACACACACACACACACACACGCTCATCTTCTGCTCTAGTCACAGCTGGTCTTCAGAGACTCAAATGCAGGCCCTGCCGGGGCCGCCAAGGAAGCAGAACTTGGCACTGGAGTGACTTCAAGTCAGAGGAATCTGGATTTGAACCCTGCAGTGAATTCCTAGCTCTGTGGTCTTAAAGGAAAAGCACCTCTCCAGCCTCCGTCTGCTCATCTGCAAAACGGAACCAGTGAGGCCTCCACCGCAAACTTGATGGGAGGAAGCCTGAGGGTGCGGAGTTGGGGACGGGCCGGGTCGGGGGGCGGGGGGGGGGAGGTTGGGAGGGGCGGGCAGCTGCCTGGCTGGGAGGAGGTGCTCCACCTGTGTTTTAGGGCAGGGATGATGCATGTCGCCGACAAGTCAGCCAGGCGAGGACTAGCACGGGACGATCAGTAAATCCCGGAGCCCCAGGGTTGCGGGCTCAGGGCTGATCCGTCAGAAATAAAAGTGAAGCCGGGTCAGAGAGTTAAAGACAGAATGAGCACGTGACCTGCACCGCCACTCCTGGGCGGGTACCAAGAGGACTGGAAACGGGAGCTCGCACACCAGGGCCGAGACAGCCCATCCGAGATGCAAAGATAAGCAGACGGCGGCGGCCGCACGAGGGAACAGCACCCAGCCACACGCGCCATCATGTGGGTGAACCCCGGAAACCCGGGGCAGTGAAAAAAACCAAGCCCAACGGGTCACGTATCATATGACCCCCTGACACAAATGTCCGGCCTGCCCAAATGCATGAAGACGAAAAGCAGATTAGCCGTTGCCAGGGGCTGGGAGCTAAGCTGGGCTGGGAGCGACGGCTGAATGGGGACAGGGTTTTCTTTTGGGGCAATGAGAATGCTCTGGAACTAGTCAGCGGTGGTGGTGGACATTGCACCACCTCGGTCATTTAAAATGGCTAATTGTGATGTGAATTTTACCTCAATTACACACAAAAAAAAGAATAAATGGCGAAGTTGGTTCCGAGGGCTCGGAACAGACCCTGGGCCCCCAGGACACAGGCTCATACCCAGCACAGGAGGGTGGAGAGCCCCTGGGAGCTTCCAGCCAGAGACGTGGCGCAGGGACCCACACCCGGTGCCATCTGTGCTGACTGCAGGGCCGCCCACCGGCTCTGCAGCAGGGACACCCCTCATGCCCAAGACGCCACATCCTGGATGTCTTCTCGGGAGGCAAATCTCTCTAATGGGCAGTGCCAGCCTGGCTTGCCGAGGAGCACCTGCTGGAGCCTGGTAGGCACCGCCTCCTGGGCACTCAGTCAGTGAAGCGCCAGAGGCTCAGCCAGGGCAGCTGTCCCTGGTAAGGGACCCAGCAGATGCCTCGGCGCTGCCCACTCCCCATGACATGCCTGGAGCCAAAACACATCCCTGCAGAGCCTGGTTTTCTTGTCCCAGTGAGTGGAGCAATAAGAATACCTACGCCCTGGGGCGGTGGTGTGGACCCAAGAAGCTAATGTTTAAGGCTCGCAGGGCAGGCCTGGCAGAGGGAGCCGTGGCTGCTGCGTTACTGGAGTCCCGTGACATGCTGTTTATAAAAACACTTTCTCAGCTCAGCGGAGGAATCTCAGAAATCCTCCTGAAGCCCTTTGATTACCTAAAGCCGAACAGTCATCCCACGACAAGATAAAGGCTTGAGGATCCTGGCATGGGTCAGAAACACAGGCTGGTCCTGGATGCAGCAGGTGGGCAGCGGGACCGTCCTCGTTCCCGTCCAGCACTTACCCACGCCTGGCAGGGCTGTGCGTGCTTGTCCCTCTCAAAACGCCCTAAGCCCCACAATCACCCCACAGGGCAGGACTGAGACACCGAGGCCCACGGAGGCGGCGTGGCTCACCTGAAGACACACAGCTGGAACATTCCGGAGCTGGGGTCTGATCCTAGGCAGTCTCGTCAGTGTTCACACCCGTAACCAACCCCCCATACTAGGGCTCGGGGCCTGCCGGCTGAGAGGGCGGCTGGGTCCACCCTGGGGTTGGGGTTGTCCAGTGGGGATGGGGGGCTTCCAGGCCAGGCCGGGGCTCCCTGCACCAAGAGGGGAGCTGGTGGGACCCTGGGTGTGGGGGAGGATGACACGAGGCACCTGGACACGCAACGGCCAGGCCGGCAGGTGGCCGGCAGGCGGCTTCTGTCCCCAAGAGAAAGGAGACGCATGTCCCTTCTGTTCCCACATGTTGTTTGCCCTGGGGAGCCCTGACGACACAGAGGGGAGGCCCTGCGGCGTCGAGGCTCACCCCCTCCCACCTCACAGACGGGCCGGCCGAGAGGGAGACGGCGGTCACTCACGGTGACTCTGGGTGGCCGCCCTGCTCACAGCGCCCGGGCCTCAGCGCACAGCCCGGGGGCCGCTACCCAGGTTGCTGGACTCCCACAGACAAGCAGAGAAAAAGGAAAACGCGGGGCGGGGGGTGTCGCGCCCATCCCTTGTTTAAATGAAGAGAAAGGCGGCGCAGCCCGCCCGTCTTCAGAGTCCTCGTGAGCGGGCTTTCCTGGGGGGGGGAGAAGAGGCAGCAGCTTCCAGCCGGAGGAACCTTCCAGGCGGAGGCGAGCAGGCTGCCGGGCGCTACCAGCACAGGCCCAAGCGAGTGAGGAGGAGCGTGACCTCTGGAACTTGCCAGGGCCCCGGCGTGGGGGCAAAGGTCCCCCGCCCTGGCCCGGCTGGAGAGCCCAGGCCGCACAGCGAGCAGCACCCCCAGCCCCGGCTCAGGCGAGGCCGGCCTCAGGCGGCCACCTTGGCGGGGGGACCTACCGCGGTCAGGACGGAGGACGACTCCGGCTTGGACACGTTGTGGCTGTTGAAGAAGATGGACTCCCGGTCTGCAAGAGCAAGACAAGCCCGTTAGACGCTCAAGGCGGGAGCAGGGACGCCGCCACCCGCCGCCAGGGGGCAGCACCATCCCAGCCACTGGCCGGGGCCCAGGGCGCCGCGGGCTCCCGTCCAGGGCGCGGCACCCACCGGGATACACCACACCTCCGGCGACGTGTGCCCGGCCCTTCCCTCCCAAATTAACACGACTGCCTCGACAAGCCCACGTCTCCCTCTCAGCGTCCTATCTGGACCGAGGGGCGCAAAGGGCTGGGTGGGAAATGTGGGCCCGAGGATCGAGGCCCAGGGCTGCAAACGCGAGTGAATGCCCTTTAACCCAGCGTTCCCTACCCCGCCGGGATCTGCCGGATTCTTTTTGGGGTGGCATTCAGTTGACAGCCGGGCTGCCACACAGCATGTGAGTGCCTGGAGGGCACGGGGCCCTGCATCCCCCAGCTACCGAGGGGAAAACCCAGCTGGTCAGGACATGGGCTTCTCCAGGACCCATCCAAGCAAGCGTCCTCATCATTTCTGACTCTGGAAGCTGGCACAGCCTCCTGAAACACCCTCTGCCCCCTCACCCCCAACTCCCCTGCCCCATGCCCACCTCCCAGGCAGCCCGGTCCCCTCCGTCCCGCGGGGGCACCCAGAGAGGTAGACCAATCCCAAGAATGAGAGCGATGAGCAATCAGTGCGTTGATTCATCCAGAGTAGGAATGTCCTTGGGGAGTAAACTAAGGTCGTCTGGGGTCGCCTAAGGTCAGGGGCCAGTTGATCGGCTGGTCAGCAGCACTTGGAGGCGTGGGCACACGATTGCAAGAATCACCAAACCACAAGCTGGGGCTGATTCTGCAGAGCTGTCTCTCGCCACCCAGTGACTGCCCCCAAGCATGGCATCGGGTCATCCTGGGCACCAGCCCCCACGTGGCCCCAGCAGCTCTGCCTCAGTCCTTCCGGGACATTGTGGCTGCCGCCCCACAGGACACAATGCTGATCCAGGGACCCAGTGAAGGGCTGTGTGCCAGGGGCCAGGGCGAGGGGACACCTGCCCTGGCTGCTAATGACCCCGCCAGCTCCAGGACTACGGCGCTGCAACGATCATGCATGAGGAAGTGATTCGGGCGGAGGCCAAGCAGGCAGGCGCTGAGATGTACCTGGCATCCTTCCCGCTAGCGGGGCACACAGGCCCCTGGCCGCCCTGGTGTGCCCGACAGTCCTCCCGCTGCTCCGACCAGAGCCAGTCCAGACGGGGGGCACGAGAGACGGTCCTGGGGAGGAGCCTGGGGAAAATAAACACCCTGCAGGACTTGCGCCGAGCAGCCCCACGGTCTCTCCTCCTGGGCACCCACAGCCAAAAGGAGTGAGCCTTGGTGGGTGGCGAGCCCTGTGGACAGAGGTCGGAGCAGGGCTCAAGCAGCTGGGATGGGTGTTCTGCTTTCTGAGGCACTGCCCGCCTTCTCACCCTGCAGCCCAGCCTGGCTCAGCCCCATCAAGATCAGGATGCCCCACCCACCCCTTGGGTCCCCAGGGGCAATGGCCAGGCTGGCAGAACAGGCCTGGGGGGAGAAGGGCCACCTGAAACAGGTGGACATAGCCACGTGCAGGGGGCTGGGAAGCCTGCAGGACCTCCAGGGGACACTGCGGGTGCTCGGCCTGCCAGGGAGGGAAGGGAGCTGTGCACCAGGATGTCAGCGTCCATTGAGCTGGACCACATCACCCAGCAGCTTCTTGTGGCAAGATCAGTCAAAATCTCGTCCTTCCTGGCTAACTCTGACCTGGGAGCTCCGGCCACTACTCGGCAGGGCTCAGCTCTTGTCTACGCGAAGCCTCAGCACAGGTGGGAGCGCGTGGGAACAGCTTCCCGCCACTCCGTCGGGACCAAGGACGCTGAGAAGCCGATACAGGTGAGACGGCCAGAGCCTTGGCGTCAGCTCGTGGGGCAGCTCTAAGCTACGTATTCCCTCCAAAGACGGACCTGGCCAGGCCTTGCTCTCTGACCCCAGGAGCCCCTGGATTTGGGGGCCCTGTCCCTAAAGTTCCCAGACTAGGTCTAAAACACACAGATCCCTGGCAAAGAATCACCACCAGCAGCACGGCAGGGAGGGCGATGAGGAATACCAGCATCTCTCTGCCCAATGTGCAGACGAGAAAGCACAGGCTCAAAGGAGCAAATGACGAGCGCAGCCCCCGCACAGCCCAGTCACTCGGCGGTGCAGCCGGGAGCTGCGGCCACAGCTTCATTCACTTCGCCCTCAAGTCTCTCTGGGGAAGGGCGAGAACGTCCCGGTGTTGCCCTCACGTTCCATACAAGGATCACTTTTTGTGGGCCACCCCTGGTCACTGCGCAGGAGATTGCCTCACTCCACAGGGTGCAGCACCACCACAGGCCCCGACCTTACTGCCCTCCCTGCATGCAGTTTCTCCTCTAGAAGGGAAGCACATGAGGGCAGGGCATGGCGCACACAGCCTGGCCCCACGGCAGGCTTTTGTTGGACCTCGGAGGCACTGCCTGGGAGCTGAGGGCACCGCAGACTGCAGGCCAGGGCTGGCCGGCCACAGTGTTTGTAATAAAGTTTTGCTGGAACACAGCCAGGCCCGTTCGATTCCATATTGTCTCCAGCTGCTTTCTCACACGGACTGATCGTAACTGAGCCGGAAACGGGTACTACCCGGCCTTCTGGAAACAGGTACTACCGGGTCCTTTTGCAGGACCCCTGCTCGCTGACGTCAGCAGTACCATTGCTCTGTGCACCCCAAAAGGGGCTACTGTGCAGGAAGGAGAGCACAACCAAGGTGCTGGGCCCACTAAGGAAACAAGGCAAGAACTAAACCTGTCCAGAAGTGGAGCGAGACTAACGCCGAGCACCTAAGCACCTGACTTCAGTCCCCGCTGAGGTCACTGGGAGCTGCCACCATGGAGGACATGGTTGACGTTAGGTGAGTTCAAAGTACACCTGTGAATCTGAGCCAGAAGCGTGCAGCAGCGTGGAGGGAAGGCTGGTGTCTCTGTTTGCACCCAGATCCAGAAAAACCCACACTTCAGGGGTCCTACCTCCCCACCTAGACAGAGGAGACTGGGGGAGTGGGTGCCGTGCTGGGCAGCGGGAACCAGAAAGCCAGGGTGAGGCTGGAAAGAACCTGGAGCCCCAATTGGTCATGCTTCTCCCCCAGAGAGAGAGAACCAGGGTAAAAAGAACAAAGCCCACGGCAGCTCCCTCCCTGGCATGGCGCCCCGAAGACAGCGGACAGGAAATCGGCTTTGGGCACGGGTGGATGGACACACTGAAAGTTACTCAGCGTGCCTGAGCATAATCAGCCTTTCTCCATTAGCTCTGTGTGTTTATCTGCTCTCTTACCCGGCGCCAGTCTGCAATTTATGGAAAACTGGCAACCTGGAAACGAGAAGACACAGACACAGGCGGCCACGGCTTCTGCGTCTGGACAGAGACTGGCCCAGCACGTTGCCAGCACCCCAAGAAAAAAGGGACACCTTTGGCTGGAAATGAAGTGATTTTGCATTTTGGGGTTTTTTTTTTTTAAACAACTTTTAATTCAAGAAAGTATCCACATATTTCTAAAAATATTTCTAAAAATTAAAGCACATATTTCTAAAAATCAGGAAACAGAATTTATAAAACATCTGTCTCTTCCACCCCACAACTGGTAAGAAAGCCTCTTGTTGGTACAGATCACATATGGAAGAACCATCCGGACACTGGTCCCCTCAGCCCCAGATCGCCTCATGTTTCAGGGGGCTGGGTTGTCTGGAACCCTAAAAATGCAGCCTGGAGCCCACGTCCAGTTGGGAGGCCACCTGCTCTCAGGGAAGCAAAACAGACAGTTTTTGTCGTCCGCTTTCTGTGTTGGGTTAATGGGAAGGAAAACCGTCCCGGGGGAGGCGGCTGAGAGGGAGACAGGAGCAGCTAACTTTACTCAAGAGGCGTGGCCTGAAGCCACGAAGAGTGGACGGTGACAGGTGGTGGTTGCAGGAAGGACTTTAAGAAGACACACCTGCTGCTCAGGAGCTAAAGCAGCCGAGGCCGCTCAGGAAGCGGCGGCAGGTCCCCGGCAGAGCAATGCACGGCACGCTGAGCACAGGCCAGGACAGCCCACCGTCCCCCAAGGGGCCCCGGGAAAGCCTGCTTGTTCCCAGACATGTCTACCATGCCAAAGCTCCAGAACTTGCCTCAGAGCTGCCTTCAGAACCACTGGGAGACTCTCCAGAGCAGCCCCACACCTGCAAGTCTTCATCCAGTGTCAGCTCTTGAAATGGCCTCCTGGCGTCCCGTGTGCAGCTGGTGCTGCCCACACCCCCTTCCCCCCTCCCTAGAGCACCCCCTCAGATGTTCCAGAGGATGGCGGCGTCAGCCAGGGCCCCCACCGGTGACATCTGAGCGACACTTAGGACCAGCGGCTACTCACTGACATGGGGTCCTCGCTGGGAGGGCTCACAGCGGGGGGACTACCCCCTCTGACCGCCCCACGTCCCACAGCTAAGAAGGCCCGTGAACCAGACCACAGCTGACTACAAACAGCACAGATTCACCCCAGCAGCTGCCAAAGCAGCGAGAAACTCAGTGCGCCCCACTTGGAAAACAGAGGTGAAGCGACCCCATGAGGCTGTCGGGGCTCTGCCCCACGCACAAGCCAGCCCCCTCCTGCTGCCTCGCAGATGGCCAGCCAGGGCCATTCCAGCACTGCTCGAGTCCATTCACTCCAGGAAGCGCCCTGGCTGTAGAAACCCCTCGGTGGTGCCAGAGGACAGAGCCCCTGCTACGGCCGGCAGAACCAGGGTGTCGCTCCCCTTCCAAGGTCTCTGTGTCAACCACTTCACAACTCGGTCAACCTTCAGGTCACCTCCTCCCCTCCAGAAATCACATGTGTGGCAGTGGGAAGCCTGGAGGGGCAGACGGCCAATGCTGAATCCCCGCCGTGCCCAGGGCCGGAGCAGCCGGAAACAGCACGAGGCCCAGTTACCTGACATGCCCGCGGAGAAGTTCTTCAGCGAAGGCCTTTGGACCACGGTGTAGGACTCGCCCACCACAAACACCTTGTACAAGACGGCGTTGTGGTTGATGAAATTCTGGACCACGCAGGGCGGCTGGATGGCGCTCAGGCCCTCCTGGTTGAACACGATGGCCATCTGGGGAGGCAGGAGGCCAAACACTCCATCAGGGTCCACCAGCCCTCCAGCCTCAGACACAGTGTGTCACCCGGCCAGAACACTGCCACCAAGGCCCGTCCCTGGCTCTGTGGGTGGGGGTTCCCAAGAAGACTCTCAGTCCCTGGTGCGTGGGGTGGGGCTCAATCCACAATATGGCAGGGTTTGGGACTCTGACCCCAGCAGGTGTGCCAAGTAGGGAGGAGCAGGTTGCGCACTGCATAAGCCCACTGTTCACACTGCAGTCCAGGGAAGAGGACCCCCTGGGATGCGTGCTCATCAACCCTAGGACATCCTAGAGGTCCCGCCTCCAAGTCCCAGGAGAGGTGGGGTGGTTGGGAGGCCTGGGGTGAGGGCTTGTACAATGATGAGGTTGCCTCCTATTGTGTCCCAGGGCCCATGGGAGGCATTTATGCAAGTCCACTGGTGTGTCCTCACATGCAACTCTGTCACCACTAGCGTCATGCCTCTTGTACAGAAGAGGAAGCTGAGCAGCTCAGGGGCCGGCTGCAAGGCAACAGAGCTGGGAATGGAATGGGTCTGCCTGGCACGCAGTCTCGCCTCTGACACTATGAGTGAGCCACACTGAGGGAGACGCGGGAATATGCTGCTCCCGGTCCCTGACTCCTCTGGGGACAGAGGCCCCTGATGGGAAGGTCTGGTGGGGCTGAAACCGGAAGGCCGAGGGACAGCTGGAGAAACTTGTCCACTTTGGCTGAGGCTGGGTCCCCCAGGACAGCGCAGGTGAGTGGCCAGGGTTGGAACCAAAGATGGTCCTTTGCTCAGGCCCCAGGAGGGAGCCACCAGATGCCCAGGAGGTATCAGGACTCCTACAGCCGGCTGCCCATATCTGTGCCCGCTGCCACCCTCAACCGTCACAGAGGGTCACCCCAACATGCCTAGCACCCAGCTGGGCAGGAGAAAAAGCAGAGAACTAGGCCACACGGAGAAACAAAAGTACTTGTGTGTGCGTGCGTGCGTGTGTGCGCGTGCATGTGTGCATGCATGCATGCCACAGCAAACATCTCCTGGGCCTTTAGACAAAAATAAGAGCCAGGCATGGGGTCAAGTCCCAGCCCAGCACTGGCCGCACAAGCTCTGTGTCCTCACCTGCAAAACAGCAACAATACCCATAACCATGGTGGGGTCCTCTGTGCACGCTGAGGTTTGGCTTAGTGGTTTGAAAAAAAGAAGGGGGGGTGTTCCACGGCGGGGCAAGCCATTGTGCTTGCACCAGCTTAGACGCAAAGTAACCCCCCAGCAGTTCCGTGGACTTTAAATGAAAACGCAGAGTGGCTTGGCAAAACTAGTCCTGGTCCTGAAGGGCTGAGCCAGCGGGGGAAGGGTGGGTCAGCGGCAGCGCCGAGGCAGGCTGAGGCACGACCTTGCACCCCCATCAAAAGCCCGGCCCTCTGTTCAAAGCCAATCACAACTCAAAGGTGTCTTCTGTCCCTGCTGCACTGAGCGTCCCCAGGAACTCCTGAAACAGGTGAGCAGCCCTTCCCAGCCCTCAGGGTCATGTCATAAGGGGCACCCAGCAGGGACCTCCTGGGAAGCAGCTCCCTGGGCGTCTCCAACACATCAGATTCCAACCTCAGAGGCTCTGTTCCCGACTCCCCGCGCCCGGGAAGAGAGGACCCCCTCCCTGAACAGAGCACTGGGGATGAGGGGCAGCAAGTCTTGGCGCCGGACCTGGGCAGCCGGATTTCAAACGAAAATGCAAAGTGGTTTGGCAAAACCAGCTCCAGTCCTGAAACGGGTGTGAAATGTCCTCCCCAAGGGTGTGAAATGCAGTTGTGTGTGGGCGGCTGGGGTCCTACAACCCCAGCTGAATATCCAGGTGTGGTTCCCCAGAATGTGAAGCTGGGGAGACCCAAAAGGACCAACCCAGGCTGCTCCTCTAGGCCCCAAGAGGCTCCTCTGTTCCTTCTGGAACCACGTGACGCTGACACGTCTTCCACCCTCTAGGGCTCCATCCCCATCACCCACATCTTACACACCCGCCCTCCCCTGGCGCCCGAGCTGGGGCCGGGACACCCTGAGTGAATGAGTGAGTGAGGGGTGGGTGAACAAAGGTCAGCAGGCCGTGACCTTTCCTCTGCCCACCTTCTAAATTCAGCAAGACGGGACCTTTCCAGTGAACAGCCCTCAGGCCTGGCCCAGAGCCTGGCCCAGCAGGCGCCCAGGGAGTGACCGCTCCTGGTGGGTCAGGGGCCGAGGACAGGTCACGCTGGGGCATGCCTGGCTCGCGCTTGGAGAGGCACACCCATCCCCGCCTTGGGGACAGGACAGGCACAGGGCAAGGGCGGAGACAGCAGACAGGGAGTGGGAGCAACAGGGAGGGGATCTGGCACACAGACTCTAGAAGGTTCCCCTGGAGACGCTGTGGGCTGAAAGAAGGTGGGAGGCATGGGGGGGAGGAGACTGGCCGGCAATCAGATCATCGAACCTTCCACTCACCTCGTGGGAGTTGGTGCCATGAGCCACTCTGGTTTTGCAAACTGTGGGTGGGAGAGAGAAAAGTACAGCAGGGTGAGCAAGGTCATTCGCCCGCCGAGCCCGCCTGGCAGACACAGGGTGCAACTCTCCTACCCCTGCGGCGCCTCGGGAGGGAAGCGGGTGGGGATGGGCTGACGTGACCATGGCTGGCATCTGCATTCAGGGTGACCTGGGCAGACACTGCCAGGACACGCCAAACAGTATCTTCCGCCCACAATCAGGAGGGTCTGTTTCCAGGGTGCAGCTGGGGGGGCCCAGGGCTCGCCCGAACACCAGGCCGCCGGGGGTGGTACGTACTGAAGGGGAAGGCCAGGCCATTCTTCTCCAGGAGTCTCATGGTGTCCTCTCCGCACAGACTCGTGAGCTCCATGAAGGGCGGTGAGCAGATCCTGTCATCTGGGACCGAGGAGAAGCCCGGTGAGCTCGCCTGCCCACGAGCCACCCAGGCCCGCTTCCTGGGACAGACCCTCTCCTGGGGCTGCCCGCAGAGCCCCTGCCCCCCCAGTCAGATGCCCCAAACTCTGCCGTCGCATAGGAACACACACACAGTAACGGCATTCTTTAATTACATTTTCTAATAAGGCCCCTCTAATGACAAAACCAATAAAACCAATTACAAACACCAATACGGCCAACTGTAAAACTTGAAGATCAAAGAAAAGGGAAAACCAGACACACACGCGGCACTATTACCCCCACCTCCCAGCCCTCGGTTCGGGCGCGTAGACACTTAAACACACACACGGTTTTACAACAGGAAACTGTCTTGCAACCCGAATTTTCACTCAATAAACCATGACCATTTTTCTGGCTCTAGAAAGACTTTTTCCACCATAGGCTGCATCCGCTTAACAATAATCGCAGGAACAATGCTGCATTCAGCAGGGGCCACGCGCTTAGCACCATGCCAGGGCGCGCAGACCTCTGAAATCTGCAAAATAATCCCACGAAGAGGACGCTGAGGTCGCAGAGATTAACAAATGTGCCGTGGTTACACACCCGCTCCCTCAAGTGGAGACCACAGGCCCCCAGCCCTCGTTACCTAGCAGAAGGTGGGAGGCTAACGACAGCTCCCAGCCCGGCGCATTGGCCTTGCCAGCCGCCGGCCCAGGCACCCTGGCTGCCCAGTTTCTGTCTCAGAGGGCACTGCCTCCCCCAGGCACCCACCCAGGGGTCCAGGGTACGTTTGGTTCTCTGAAAACTTCCAGAAGCACATCTACGTGGTTGTCTAGGACGTGCCTTGTGGCAGGCACTGGGGAGCAAAAAAAAAATCTGTGGGTGAGCGGAATGTGCTCTGATTCTCTCTGCCGATGGCTCAGTGACATTGCCGAATCCCCTCCCCACCCAGACCACCAGTCTCTCAGGAGGCAGGACCACCCTGCCTTTCTGGGCACAGGGGTCAGGAAACACTAAGCAGTAGAGAGGTGAGGGTGCCCCCACCCACATACTCGGAAACCAGCCCCGGATTAAACAAGCAAAGCAGCTGGCTTGTCTCCAAGAGCTCCCAGGAGGAGGTCAGCACGTTAACCCCAGGTGAGAGCCAGCTTTGCGGGCCTCAAGCGCGAATGAACTGCTCGGGCTTATTAGAACTGTTTTAATCTCCCTCCCCAACCCCACCTGCAAATTCCAAACTTCAAATAGGTACAAGAGTGTTGACAGACTTGGGGGGCTACAGAGCTTCTTGGAGACGCCAGGAGGGTGGTCTGGAGCCAGTGCGTGTGGGCCTGGCAGACAGCTGCAGGTCCTCTGCACAGTTGGTTGACTGCCCCTCCCACCCCCGCAACACCCCAGTCCCAGTGCTGTGACCGAGTCCCCGTGGACAGATGCCAAACAGAAGCCCCGGGAGGCAGTCTTGCCCAAGGTCACATGATGGTCAACAACAGAGCAGGGAAGAGCTACGCTCCCATGGCAGGCCAGGTAAAGAGAGGTCATACTGGGGGAGGGCAGGGTATGTCCTGCCTCTTGGTTGTATGCCATTATTGATACAAGGCCCCGTTTCTGCACCCCAGCCCAGAGTCAGAGCCTGGGCAGACACTGCTGAAGAACCAGTGGGCTCTCCCACAGCTGTTGAGGGAGGAAGTGGCAGGTGGCAGAAGGGGTACCTTCTGCGGAGAAGCACATCGCTGGAGCACACAGTCCCTGCAGCCCAGTCCAGCGGATGTGACACCCCAGACTTGGACTAGCTGGGGGATTCTGCAGCAGGCAGGCTAAGACAGGCACCTGACCTGGCAGGGGCCTGGACCAAGCTTGACCCCAGCCCCCCAGGAAAATCAAACCACCTCCTGTAATAACATCTGGAAGCCCTACCACCAGGTGTATCAGAGCAGGTGAACCAGCATGGTTCGCAGATTGACTACAATGCCCACCCCACCCCCAACAATATCTCCTCCCACCCAGCCCATCAAGACTTTCACATGATGTCCCTGAAGACTGTCAACATCTTGATTGAATGCCCTTGTTATGTGCTAGGAGCATGGAGAGGCAGAAATTTTGCCCAGAGTTATACACATGAGTGGCTGGGCTGGGGGTGGGGGGGTCTCACTGGCCCCCAAGTCCCTGTTTTGACCATGGCCTCCCTAGTAGAAAAACTGATAACAGAATAAAAGACAACGGTCAAATGATCGTCTCAGTAGATAGAAAAAGCATTTGACAAACCTTATTATAAAGACACTTGAACCAAAAATAGAAGGAAATTTCCTCAACCTGAATTAAAGGCATTTACAAAAATCTACAGAAACCCTATTTACAATTAAAGACAGGGTGCTCCCTTCTAGGACCAACAATAAGATGCAGAGGACTGTTCTGCCACTTTTCTTCAACACTGTACTGCAGGTTCTAGCCAGGGCAATTTGGAAAGAAAATGGAATTAAAGGCATCCAGACTAGAAAGGTAGAAGTAAAACTACTAAGAAAAGGAACTGCAAGGTACAAAACCTATATACAAAAAAACAATTGAATTCTATACCCTTAGGATGAACAATCCAATGTGAAGTAAGAATACAATTCAAGTTATAGTAACATTAAAAAAACCAGAAATTAATTTAACAAAGATCTAAAAACTGAACACTACAAAATACTATTGAAATTAAAGACCTCACTAAATGGAAAGACATACTATGTTCATGGATATGAAATTTAATATTAAGCTCCCAATACTCTTGCATTCATCTACAGATTCAACACAATCACATTCCCAGTTTGCTTTTTTTTCAAGAATTGACAAGCTAATCCTAAAATTCATATGAAAACAATCTTAAAAAAGAGGAACAAAATTAAAAGACTCACTCTTCCCAATTTCAAAATTTACTACAAGGCAACAGTAATCAAGACAGTATGATACTGGGCCTCCCCGGTGGTGCAGCGGTTGAGCGCTGGGTTGCAAAGCTGCCCGCGGCCTCTGTGGCGCCAGTTCGATCCCCAGCTGCTCCCCGGCCACCGGAGGAGGGTCCCACCTGGCGCGCAGACCTCTCCTGCCGCCCGCTGCTCCCCTCAGCAGTGTACTTCGGTCCTTCTGCCTGCTCTGCTCCCTGCTCTGGCTCTGGTGAATTCTCTCACCCTCCCGCACTTCTGACTGTACCCAGTGCATGTATAAACGAACAAGCAAACAAACAAATAAATAAAACATGCCTCTATAAAAAAAAAAAAAAAGACAGTATGATACTGGCATAAAGTTGGATACACAATCAGTGGTGTAGAATTGAGAGCTCTGAAAAAGATCCATATATCTACAGTCAATTTTCCACAAGGATGCCAAGACTGCAAAATATTCTCTTCAACAAATGCTGCTAGGACAACTGGATGTCACAAGAAAAAAGAATGAGCCTGGACAAGCAATAAAAAGATAAACAGCCCAATTTTATTTTTATTTTTTTTTTTAAATAACAAATTTTATTTTTATATTCCCCATACAATTGCAACCCTCCCATTCTGACCCCAATCCCTCCCCTCCCGCCCCTCACCCCCCAAAAAGTGTCTCTGGTTCATAGTTTTTTGTTGATTTTGATTTTTGCTTTCTTATAGTTATTCATTTTCCTGGTCCCTTATTTAAGTTTTCTAGATTCCTGCTATGAGTGAGACCATCCAGTATTTTTCTTTTTCTTTTTGGCTTATTTCGCTGAGCATGATCCCTTCCAGTGCCATCCATGTTGCTGCAAATTGCATGTGTTTATCTTTTTTGAATGCTGAGTAATATTCCATGGTATATATGTACCACATCTTCTTAATCCAGTCATCTATAAACAGCCCAATTTTAAAGTAGACAAAGTATTTGAATATACAGTTCTCAAAATGAGACATAAAAATGATCAATCAGCATGTGAAAAAATGCTCTCTATCATTAGCCATCAGGAAAATCAAAACTGCACTGCATATCAAAACCGCAATGAGATATCACTTCACACCTAGGATGACTATAGTCAAAAAGACGGGGAAAAGAAATGTTTAAAATAAATAAAGACAGTGGGTGTTGACATTGCTGTTGAGAGTCTAAAATGAGGCAATTGCTTTGGGAAATAGTCTGGCAGCTCTTCAGCTAAACACAGTTAAAACATCACCCAGCAATTCTACTCCTAGAGAGATCACCAAGAGAATGGAAACCTGTACACACAAAAACCTGTCCAGGAATACTCAGAGCAGATTTATCCATTAAGTAGCAACAGCCCAAATGTCTACCAACTGATGAAAGTACAAACAGAACAGTATTATCCACCTAGCGGAATATTATTCAGCCATAAAAAGGAATGAAGTTGGGCCTCCCATGGTGGCGCAGCGGTTGAGCGCTGGGCTGCGAGGCTGCCCGTAGCCTCTGCAGCGCCAGTTCGTTCCCTGGCCGCTGGCGAGGGTCCCACAAAAAAAAAAAAAAAAAAAGGAATGAAGTACAGCCATGTGTACCTCAAAGATATTTCAGCCAATGATGGCTGGCATATACAACGGTGGGGCCAACAAGCTCCACTGTGGAGTCTAGGTGTGTTGTAGGCACCATCGTCCAGCTGGGCGTGATCACACTCGAGGATGTTCACACAACAATGACATGGCCTAACAAGATGTATTTCTCTGAATGTCTTCCTGTCACCAGTGGAGGGGCGAGGACTGGCACTGGAGGCTCATGGCGGGTGAGTGAAGCACGTGCATGTGACACGGAGCTGTGAGGCGGTATTCCCAAAATTACGTAGTTATGCCAGCGATTGGCGAATCAATAAAATTTGTGGGGGAAAAGAATATATTCTCATCGTGAAATGTCTCATGACCGTGTTGCTATGTGCTATGACAACTTGAAAACACACAACGCAGGTCGCAAAAGCCATCTATCAGATGACTCCATTTATCTGAAATATCTGGAACATACAAGTCCACAGAGACAGAAAGGGGACAGGTCATCGCACAGCGGGGCGCTGAGGT